TCACGCTTCTACATTGGAGGGGATGGAGGCAGCGCAGGGAGCAAAGAAGACGTGCCTGTGACCTTGTCGAATGTCCTGCTGCACAACCGCCCGTTGGATGACAATGAGATCCGCGTCCTCAACGCAAACAAAATTTCTATTCCAAAGCTGACAGATCTGAAAACATTGGCGGCAAGAGCAACGGATGAAGGTACCGCTCGTGGCAGCACTGTTTGCGGAGGCGGACTGCTGCCGCTGCTCCTTCTGCTTGGATTGTGGGGGATTGCCGCTTCTTGAGGAGTGTGTGGCCTCTGCGTGGAGCACCTCAGCCCCTCCCCACCACCGACGCACACACTCCTGGTAGTGGATTACTATGCGTAAAGGAAAATTTTCATGTTTTTTTTATTTTACTTTTTTGTGCGTGTTTTTTTCTAATCTCCCATCCCCTCTTTTTTTGCTTTTGGGGCAATCAATATGGACGTTCTTTTTTTTCTACTATTCCTTCTTTTAATTGTTTCTTCTGCACTCTTCCTGTGAGGGGTGCCGTGTGTTTCCGCCCAACTGCTCCGCTCGCACACCCACCGACACGCTCATGACGACGGCCCTGTGCGCCTCGCCTGCTGCACGCATGAGGAGGGGCCGCGACGAACGGCGCGCTGAGGGAGCCGTGACGTGTGGGCGTGCGACGAGGGCCTGTGGGGCGGAGCACACATTTCTTCCCTCTTTTTTTGTTTTGTTTGCGGCCAGGGCGGGCAGACACCCGCGGCGCCACACACACAGTCACGCCCTGCCGCCGTGTTTTTTTTTCTTTTTTGTTTTTGTGTTCATTTCACGCGCTGGCAGTCCCGTCAGCATTTCTTTTCCCCCGATGTTTTGTTTTCTTTTGCTGCGCTCACTCTCCCGATGGAGTGACGCGACTCCCGTCGTGTCTGCGTGCTTCTCTCAGTCCCCACACACGAGTGACTGTGCTCTGCGGGCCGCACTCACGCGCCGATGAGAGGGCTGAGGGGAGCAGCAACACGCAGATGACCCCATGAAATATAAACGATGTGCGGACACACGGAGGGTCGGACGGCTGAAAGACATTTAAATACTTTTTAAATTTCTTTTTTGTGGGCAAAAAATATATGGACAGTTTGGTGGGCCACAAGGCAGCCGGTAGCTTTTTAAAATTTGTGTGGAACAGTAATGGACGATTTCTTTTTTATTTATAATTATTCTGTGTGATGGAGTTTGTATAAGATGAAGGGGAAAGCTTTTTTTGTGTTTTGGATAAACTTTGTGTGGATTGCCGCTGCTTGGACTGCGGTGCAATCGTGAGTTTGAGCGGTCTTCTTCTTGTTGTTTCGCCATGCGTCTCCGCTGTACATTTTTGTGCGTCTCCCCACATACTCTACTTCCTCTTTTCTACTTTTTGCTTTGTGCTTCTGCAGGCATATACACAAGGTGCACATTGCAGTGGGTTTGAATGCTTCTTTTGCAGTGCGTGCTGGCAGTTGCGTGTGGCGGCTGTTCTCTTCTTCCGTGACCATGAGGAGAAGGGGGAGGGAGTGCGCAGCCCGAGTCTCTTTTTCTGCGGGTGTGGTGCACCGCGTGTGACTGCGTTGAGTTGGGCTCCGTGTCCCATTGAGGGCGGGATGGCAGGAAGTTTTGTTGCCGCGTCATGGATGGATGAGGGTCCACTGGCGCGTGTGGCTGGTGTGGTGGGTGCTCGCTCCGTGTGCGTTGTGTGGTGGCCGCGGGCTTTTGGCATTTCCCGTTGGCTGTGGGAATGAGCTGGGGGGAGATGGTGGTGGATGTCTGCTCCTCCTGCATGGTGGATGGCTACTGGCGTTGTTTGCGTTGCGTGGATGCTGCCCAGTGGTGTGTGAACTGTGCGGCTGGGCCTCCTGCCTTCTCCTCGTTTTGTCTGCTCTCTCTCTCGCTGTATCCGCGGTGCTCCGTCCCTCTCCCTCTTGTTGCATTCTTTTTCTTCTGCCTCACCGATCAGCTGACTGGCTCCAGCGACTCCACTACGGGTGACGATGACTGCGATGATGACGATGGTGACGGTGCGGCGCCGTGTTGGTCCTTGCACTCTTGTGCTGCTGCTGCTGCTCGTCCGTGTGTATGTGACGGCTGCTGGGAGTGCTGGAGATGTGTCTGGTGATGCGTATGCGGTGGTTGTGCCGGTGGATGTGTCGTTTGCTCAGAGTGACGGCAGCCTGAGCTATCGCGTGTGCGTGTGTGTGTGTGTGTGTGTGGGCGTGGAAGAAGTGTTCTGCTGCCAGTGCTGAGGCTCAGTATGAGAATTACACTTTCAGTGGCTTTGATGTGCGCATGCATGGCAGGAATGGTGAGCTGTGTGCTGTGTGCCATGTGGTCAGTGCGGTGCACACATTTAGCAGCTGTGCTGCCAGCTGTGCAACGAAAGATGAAGGGGCCACCGTTGCCTTCACGATGAATGTGACGACACATAAATACGCCGGCCCTTATGAATTGTGGCGGCGTCAAATTTCCTCCCGATGGAACCATCCATCCGCCTGCACGGAGCAGCGATGCTGACCAGACGGGCATCTGTCAGTTGCCGCCACCCCGTGAAGGGACGACACAAAATCTGGTGGGACAACTGCGCCGCAAGTGAATGCTGAGCCGTCACGTCAACACGAGGATTGGCGACGGTCTGCTGCGGCTGACGGACCCAACACCGTCGATCCGAGTCCCGCATCCAACACGGCGACCAACACGTCCGAGACGAAGCCTGAGTTTGCTTACGTTTAAAATATCAATGTGGCTCCGACACCATCCGAAAGAAGGCCCACGCCTGTCACCGAGCCGAAGGGGAATCCCATTGATGATGCGATGAGTGGTTTAATAAATGTTGAGGTGCCGCAGGGAGTCGATCTATCTGTGGCGCAGACGACGCTGGTGCAGTCGAAGGATGGGATTGCTCCAGTTGCGGCGAGGGATCCATTTTTTTCACCCTCGCTCGTCAGTGCTGGTGGAGTAATGGCTGTTTTCTTTGAAGGTTGCATGGATGCCGAATATCAATGTGCTCAATTAATTATGTCCTTTTCTTCTGATGTGGTTGCGGGGTGCATCGACTCTGTGTGGAATTGGTCCACTGTTGTTGGTGAGGTCAATAAAAGATACATGGAGGGCACACACTGTGCTTGGTGCAGCGGAGGGAAAGGAGAGTTTGGGTGTTGTGCTCCGCCCCACAACAATCACGAAGGGCAACAGAGTGTTTCTTCTTGCGGGAGGCACTGATGTGTCCTACGAAGGTGTGTGCTGGAGAGAGGGCGGCTTGGAGCTGAAGCTGGTTGTGGGCGATGTCACGAATCCCACGGGTGGGAAGCAGAGTGGACGGATCGAATGGGGCGACCCAAACCACTCTCGAAACTGATCTGTTCTGCTTCTCACAAGGTGAATGGACGGAGTTCATTGCCTCTGGTGGCGCAGGTGTTGTGATGGAGGACGGCACGCTTGTGTTTTCTCTGATGGCGGTGAATGAAGCGGAATACGTTTGCTCCATGATCATTTGCTCGACGGACAACGGCAGCACCTGGGCGCTCTGTGAGGACATTTCCCCTGCGAAATGCCTTGACTCCCGCGTCACCGAGTGGGACGGATCACTTATCATGATTGTTGTCTGCGAGAGTGGCCAGAGGGTGTACGAGTCGCGTGACATGGGGAAAACGTGGACGGAGGCCATCGGGACACTCTCAGCCGTGTGGGTCAACGCCCGATCAGGAGTCTCTCGAGATTTAAGCCTGCATGTGGATGCCCTCATCACCGCGACCATTGAGGGAAGGAAGGTCATGCTGTGCACTCAGCGAGGGCACGCCTCGGGGAAGAAAAGGGCCACTGCGCACTGCCTTTGGGTCACGGACAACAACCGCTTGTTTTCTGTTGGACCGGTTGCCATGGAAAATGCTGCGAGTTGGATGCTCACCAGCAGCCTGCTGTGCCCGGATGGCAGTTTGCATCTTTTACAGGGGAGGGACAACGGTGAATGCCGTGTCATGTCACTTTCCCGCCCGACGGAGGAACTGGAGGAAATCGAGTCCGTCCTCAGTAATTGGACGCAAAAGGACATTTTCTTTTCCAGCCTGTCTATACCCACGGCGTGGCTGGTGGCAGTTTTGTCCGATGCGGCCAATGATGTCACGTGGAACGACGAGTACCTTTTCCTGAATGCAACGGTGACAAATGCAGTGAAGGACAACGATGGGTTACGAGTGACGGGACTTGAGTCCAGGGCACTACGGCCTGTGAACACTCAGGGTGATGAAGTGCGTCATATATCTTTGAGCCACAACTCCACACTTGTGGCGTCGGTGACCATCGAAGAGGCTCCGAGTGAGAACACTCCTCTGCTGACTGCGGTGCTGGCGGACACTGAGCCCAATCATACTGTGGGACTGTCGTGCAGCCACAACAAGAAGTGGGAGACGACGTTCGAAGGCAAGACAACAACACGGAGCAGCACTTGGGAGCCGAAGGAACGAATACCAAGTGGCACTCATGCTGCAAGGCAACAAAACCTCTGTGCACATTGATGGCGAGTCGCTGGGGAATGAAGAAGTGCCGTCAACAGGCGAGAGGCCACCTGAGGTCCTGAGGTTTTTCTTTTGCGCGTGCGGTGGGCACGAATCTCAAGTGACGGTGAAGAACGTCTTTCTGCACAACCGCCCACTGAATTTCACTGCGATGCGTGCACTCAAGGACAGGTTCCCGTTCCGACGAGGAAAGCGGCTCCGACACCGCCCGAGAAGATTCGAGTAGTTGACAGCGTCAGAGAGCACGTTGCTGGGGATATTACCGGAGAGAAATGAATGGGCACAACGCAATGCCACTGGACATGAATCCCTATTACAAATAGTCACCTCGCAGTGTCTGGAGCGGCGTGAGTCCCGACGACCGCCTCGCCTCTCCCAACGACGTGAAATTGATACTGCGTGATTTGAGCGGCAACAACACTGTGCATGTGCGCGTGTCTTGTGTGCTGCTGCTTCTTCTGGGATTGTATTTGGGTCGTGGCAGTCTTCTGAGCCGCAGAGTGTGGATTTGAGACTCCTCACGGCGAATACATGCCGCATTTCTTGCCCTTTTTTTATGCCACCGTTTTTTAATTTTTGACGTTTTACTGTTTGTTGATTCTTTCAATT